AAACTGGAAAGAAAGCAGGATTCCTGGAAGAAGAATAAAAGATTTTTTTTTAGTCAGAAATGAGGACATTTCCTTGGGAGAAGGAGACGTAGGAGCTTGTTTTCTCCCCCACCTCTCCCACACAATACGACAATGTTCCTTTAGTTCAGCCACTGTTTGCTTAATGCCAAACTCATTAACAGCCCGGAGAGCTGAGACCAGCAGCACTAGGCTGTTATATTGCAGGTACCCAGCTGTGCATTGTGAAATCCACTCCATCACCCAGACACTGGGAGCCCTGAACATGCAGTTTCGCCCCTTCTTCCCTGTGCTGTCCCACTACAACACCTTTCTGCAAAGGCGGAAGATGCCCAACTGAACCTTGGGTTTGATACAACACCGAATGGTTACTCTCTACATCTGCATGGGCAGTAGCACAGCAGGAAAGGATTTATAAAGTAAAACAGATAGCAGCGAGTGTTCAGGACCCATTTGTACACATTTTGGGCAAATGACTCCTATTTTTTTTGTCAGCTCCTCGGGACTGGGTGGCTGTTAGTGCCTGAACACATTGGATGTGCTCCGGGASCACAGCTGCCAGTTGAGCTTCATGCCAAAGATCCAGTTTACTCCAAAGGGGGTCTATRATGGAAACCAACACATGGTCAGTGGAGCTATCAAGAGACCTACTATGAAAATGTTCCTCTAATCTAAACTACATCACTCGTGAAGACCAGCCCTAGATTTGTTTTTCATTCCTCATCAAAAAGATAATTCCATGTAGAATTTGGTTTTCTTTCCAGGTTGGCATTACACCTATAACTAGTCAGGAATTCTGAACACAAGAGATTCTTTTCAGGGAGTGTACTCAAGTTTAAATATGTATGCTATTAAAGGTCAAGACTCAGGAAGGTATAAGCAGGAAAACTGATCATGGAACCTGGCAGGTTTGCTTGCTTGAGGGAGGAAAGCACTGGCAAGCTGTGATTCTTACTATTCAAAGTAAAGAAAGTATTTTTGTTCACAGTAAGAGCTTGTTAACATACCCAGACATTAATAAGCTGAGTCATTTCTATAAGCCCCTCTGAGGTGAAATTAGCGGTCCTTAATTATTATTACAAACAAAATAATCTGAGAAGTTCATGATCATTTGCACCAATTCCCTGGGCAAATTTTAAAAAAACAGATAGAAATTAGTAGAGAAATAAGAAAAGTGTTCAGTAAACACACCAGGATTTTTTTTTCTTTTATGTTTATTTGAAATACCATGGAGCTCATCTTGCCAAAACAGCCATTAAATAAACTGTTCTTTTCTACTCTACAGTCTTGGTCCTTCAAGGGAGGTAAAAGATGGAAGTAAGTCCTGTGCATAAATTAGGCAGGTATCTTCTTTCCCTCTGCCCCCATGTTTTTCCCATTCCCCAGYGCTCAAAATCTGGCACTAGGATTCYTATGTACTTCATAATCAAAACAATGTATTCAAGAGCAGCAAACTTTGGTGGCTGAAATGCAGAAATATCAGTTTTGTTTAATGCATTTTTAGACCCATTCACAGTGTCAAAGGATGAACCATGCCATAATTGCTGTGGCGATTACTTTTCCTTAAAATATAGCACAGAACAGCTGACCTACCCRACAGAGAGCTTTTATGCCCAGTCCATGGAATCAACATTTTAAATTATAACCTGGATAATGAAGTATATAGTATTATTCATTAATTAGTCCTGTACCACCCAGCAAGCAGAAGAAGGTTATGCAGAACAAGAAGCAGTTTCTAAAGCAGTAGAGATACCTATTATGAGTTCTAATCCCTAAACAAAACATCTGCTGTAAAGGTTTAAATTTAATTCTATTGCTTTTCAAATCTTCTGGTGAGCTAGTTATTACTGATGCTGAAAGGTGACGCTTGTCAGCCAAGAACTACATTAGAGTCCATAATTGAATTTCAAGGGTTGTCAGGAGCAGGCTAATAAAATAGTTGCTACTAGGAGTGATGTATGTATACAAAAAAAATCATCTAGTCTAGCAGGATCCAAAGTTTGTTGTGTGGTTTCCTGATGTCATTTCAAATAATATGTGCAATTTTTCTGGGCTGCATTTGCCTGACATTCTCCTGTTGTATAATAATGATTCATTATATATAATTTATTCAAGGACTGTAAGTCACCTCCAAGTGCCTATAAATATTACTGGAGCTAGACATTTGCATTGTAAAACAAATGCATGGTGCTGGGATTTATGAAGGGTCTTTTTATGTTAGTTACTTGACAGGAAAGATAGATTTTTCTGATGCAGAATACTCATCTTAAAATCATCCTACAAATCTACCTCAGGCAACAATCGCTGGTTCTTCCTTCCCTGCCTTGTTTCCTTAATTAGTCRATTCTGGGAAGGGTCAAAGGTGAAGTATTCCTTGACCATTCAGAATGGACACAGCTCAGTGGAATGGGGAATGTTCCCACGGTTATAATCATAATATATCATGTCTGTTCTTCTTCTCTCTGAAAGCATGGGCTGTTTCTGAACAGAGCACCTGAGAGCAGTGGAAGGTGGACAGATGTCATTGCTATGAGGAATGGGAAGTGGGGGAGCTCAGTGACACAGAGGCTGCAAATTGTGTCAATGCACCAAGGTGTTAACGAAAAGATGTGGGGTGCCCCAGATAAACTGGTATGTGTAGAGAAAGTAATTCTTCTAAAAACAGAGAAGATCAATGTAAAGTGACAGCAACTAGCTAGGAGACATCAAGCTCTGAGAAGCTGATACCCCAGTGATKTTCTAAGTATCTTGCTGCTTGTCTCACTGCAAGGAGTTGTTCAGTCTAGAAAAGAGACCCAAAGGAACATATCAAGGTTCCTCAGAGGAAAGAAGTGGGAATGAGAAGAGGAAGGGGATACCTTGTTCTCTGTGTATAGCTGTGAGGACAATTAGACACTGGAAGAACAATAATCRGGATAGCGAAGTACTGTAAGAGCACACTGAGAGGCTGCGATGTACCCAGCACTGCACCGCAGCCTGCCAAGCTTCTCAGGGCAGCCTAGAAAAGCATCTACGAGAAATAACACAGACATAATTAGAGCCCGTGCATAATGAATTCAGTYTCCATAATCAGGCATCGCTGCAGCCTAACTGCACTCAACCACATGCAGTCCTCTGGCACCAGTYGTCTCTCCTAGCTCACCCCAGTAACACCTCATCCCGGACAGAAGGACATGGACTAAGTGTTCCTGCTTAGTGCAGAACCACGGACAAACAGGTCTTCCCAGGTCTATTCTAGCTCTGTCCTATTATTTCTCTAAATTATCGTYTGGAACTTTAATATTTTCCCCTTTGTGTTTAGAGGCGTCGATCTGCAGTCAGACTATTAATCATTAAATTCACATTGACCTTTGGAATGGTAGTTTCAGCAGTGCTCAAGCCATGTGCTCGGCAGCAGGCCAAAAATACCAAAACAGGCTCCCAAGCAAGGCAGAAGAAAGGGGAGACCAAGACTGCAAACAGACTGGCTATTCAGGACACAGCTAGTGCCACAGGAAGGCTGTCCTGCATGGCCCCTGTCTGCTCTTCTCTGTGTGGCCTCTGACCAGTCCCTTTATTTTTTTTTCCCCCTTCAGTACCTTTGTTCCCCTTTAGCAGAATGGATATAAACAAACCTCCTAGCTGCACCAGGGCATGTTGTTAACAGAGAGTGGGGCAGATACCATCTTGGCCCATGTATAATTTTACCTCTGGCTGCTCTCAAAGGGAATATGACCTCAGCTGTGTTCCCGGTGTGATGTGTATTTACGTAGGGTTTTCGCTGAGCTTGTGCTTTAACACCAAGTAATGCTGCTCATGTCTCAAAAACCATCCTTTTAACTCCCATCCGCTGCTACTCTACAACCTAGAAAGCAACAATACCAACAACGCCGGCAGGTTAGCAAAATGTTTTATTATACTGAAACCTGTTTTACATAAAGCAGAGCCAATGGTTCTATTTTACTAGTCCCATCAACCCAAAGTATCTTTACCATAACTTTCATTGTCGTAAAGCAAAAAGACCTAAAGAAATAATTTCATTATTAAAAATATAGATATATATATAAAGCTTTCTATTCATTCTGTTCTATATTAAAAAGCTAGATTTAGAGATAGTGATATGACTTATATATATTAGTATTTTTTTCTCTGGGGAGCTTTTCTCCACAGTTGTATAGATCACAGGTAGCAGGAATTCAGGAGTTTCTTCCTATATAACAGCAGTTATCAACCCACGTAACATGTAAATTTAATACACTGAGCCAGTGAGCCTGAGTCCTGGAAGAAAACAAATAGACCAGGTTGCCTGTTCTAACAGGTAGTTCTCACTTTTCTTGAATATTAATATTTCTTCGGTATATTTCCTTCCATTTTCTTTTCTTCCCCTCTGGCTAATTCCAAAGTTGTTCTGGCCTTGTTAAAAGGATTACCACAGTAATGAGGGATTTTTTTTTTTAACAGAAGACTCGTTTTGGCTTAGTGGAATTAATCATCATGGCTCCTTCTTTAAATTATAGAAGGGAGAGGGAGGGAGAGAGAGAGAGGGACTCGAGAAACCCATTCAGAGTTCCTCAATTAGGATGTCKGCCCTAAATCATCTTCTGGAGGACTCTCTCTCTCTCTCCAATGACTATAGGGATAAATCCAGGAAAACTTGCCTGGCAAAAGTTGGCCTTGTGAATCTTGAATCCTCCAGCATCCAAATCTACTCATGGCAATCTATTTGTAGTTCTGGAGCTGCACTCTTAGCTGTGTTCAGCCAGACACWATTCTCCCCAAGAGCCACAGATGCACAGTGCCTAGTGTTTGCAGTCCTACCATCTCTTCTAATCTCTCCTACAAGCTGGCAGTTGTGCAACTACAAAGTCAGCAGAACAGTCAGGCATTTCAGTATTCCTCTGAACTACAAAGGAACTTTTACCCATACTTGACAGTTATGGGTTATGAATACTGAAATACCAGTGAGAGAAGAAAGAGCTGATAAAATAATGCATAGGAGAAGATGAAAATAACCTTTCTGGTGAGATGAAATATATTGTGTAAAATGGCAGAAACAGAACTCTGTCCTGCTTCAGACCATTTGTTGGACACTATCCATACTTGCCACATGYGCTGCATGCTTGTCGTTTTCAATTAGGACTAAGCTGCCCCAAACTGTGCTGTTGATACTAAAATAACTTGTTATGTGACTCTACTAGACATAATTGATGGTGCCATGTCCTTGTACACATCCTCTGTAAAGCCCTGAAAATCTAAGGCAATGTTACACCACAGTTGCTCTGTTTTAAAAGCGTCAAGTCATTCTTGTGCAAGTCAAACTTGCTGATCTCTGAATCATGATACATAAGCAGACACTGTGAGAGTAAAGTGACCTGGCCAATTCTTCCTACCATCACTTGAGCTCAGTGGGAGTTTGGACCAAGAAGGCAACACTACATTTTAAAACTATGTATATTCAGAAGAGACTTGCATCTTCATTGTCAATAGATTCATTTTCCTGGATATACTGGAGGATGTCCACTTCGTTCATTGTTTGAATCTTGTCTTCCTTTGTCTTTGCCAGTTGTGATGAATTCATGTTCTTCCTGGGTGAAACTACTGGCTTCTGAGGTAAAGGTGGTTTTGGTGGTACCTTAGGTTTGGGTTTGGAGGTTATTTTCAAGAGTTTCTCTATATCATCTTCAACTCTGGAATGAAAGGAAAACATCAGTTAGTCCTCAGTGACACTGCTTGGCAATTTCTGCATTGCTTTGGTGAAAAACACAATTTGGGAAAAAGAAACTTTCTGTAGAAAAGGATCAACTTCAACGAATTTGCTTTAGAAAGTTTTCAAAAAAGTTTCAGCATTACAAAAGAACTGTGTTTTTATGACATTTTGCAATTCACTGTCCAACAGAATGCACTTTACTATGTGTTTTCAAATGTCTAAGTTAAAAACAGTTTGCAATTATCAAAATAAAATGACCTTCATTTTATTTTTGCGGAAAAAAAAAAAGTGCTTTGCGTCTGTGGCAGGATGCTTCATTTTTCCAGGAACTCAGACATTTTAAATGGTAGAATCTTTTTAAACTCATCTTTGCTTCCCCTCTCAAGGTAGACATAATCATAAGAAACTGGAAGATGTCATGCCTTTAGAATAAACAAGTTCACACTTGCTCCCAATAAACTGAAGGTGCTTTGCAATCTGTGAGCATATTTAAGGATTCTTTTTTTGGGCAACCTTTTTCCCCCAAAAAAGTGCTGAGTGACTCCAAGAGGCACCTGCCTTTGAAAAGTGAGTTTGTGAAAGAAAGGGAATGAGGTTGTGACACATCACATCTCCTGAAGATAAAGCAGAGATGGGAGACTAAAAATTAGAATAGCTGGAGAAGTGTTTATAGGCCAGAGTAATTTTTGTTCTGAATTAAAGCCTTTTATTTCAGTCATCTGAGCARAGTGGTCAAACAAAATACTATAAGGAGTAAACACAGTTATTAACTTGCCAAAGTCTTTGTTGATCAACTCTTTTTAAGTAGTTAAAACCCAAAGAGCAACACATGCAGATAGTCAGTTGTGTAATGACCACCTACAGAAGAGAATCTGATAAAACAGCTACCTCATTKATACTTAGAAAATAGATGACTTACAAAAGTCATGCCCCTAATTGTAGCATGCAAAAATAAGAAAGTTGAGGCATAGTAAGTGTGAACGTAATCTTTACATGGGGGACAAGGAGCCGAAGATCAAGAGAAATAGCAGTTTCATAAGTAGGGGTTATCTACCTGCCAAACCTCAGCTCTAGTGGGACTCTRTGACTGTGGCGTCTCAAGCAACAAAGTGATTTAACAATTTGTTTACAAACACTAACCTAAGAGCTGTTTTTAATACACTTCAGTGTCAGCTGATCTGAGACGGGCTGAATGAACACATTTAACACAGTGCCAGCAGTGAAACTCCCTTTGCTTCAGCCAAAGGGGAGCCTGGCAGAAAAGCTGCTAATGAACTAGGAGATAAAATTAAGGTGCAGCAGTTATTCCAAGGGGACTGGAATTATCTTCTGTGCTGAATATACCCTCTAATAGTTTTACTTAATTAATTTGAAGAGAACTTGGAATGATAAGGAATGATGAGGGTGATAGAGCCCTGGAACAAGCTGCCCAGGGAGGTTGTGAAGTCTCCTTCWCTGGAGATCTTCCAAACCCGTCTGGGTGTCACCCTGTGCCACATGCTCTAGGTGTCCCTGCTGGAGCAGGGGGTTGGACTAGATGGGGGACTAAAGGTCCCTTTCAACCTTAAGGATTATTGATTCTATGAGAAGATAGTCTGGTAAAGTGATTCTTAAGAAAGCAGTTGGCTGCCTCTGTGCAGCTCGTCCTCTCTCTGTCCTCTGCCAGAGTGCTACATCCAGAGGTGACACAGTTCCTCCACCCAGGAGGAACGGGCTGGATGTTCTAAGTCAGGCAGAGCAGCAGCAACCATCTCGTGGCAAATGGTGAGGACTAAATAGAGACATAACCCAGGGAACACACAATGGCTGCTTACCACTGAAACTCCTCATTTCAGCCCCTGGCAACTGAAAGAGACTTGGGAGAGGAGCAAGTCCACTCCAGTAACTCCCCTCACTGGAATAGAAAAGTATGCAGGGAGCCTAAGGATGGTGTTTTTCTAGTCTGTCCTTCCATAAGCCGCGTGGGTAGGCAGTCCTTGCAGTTGGAGTGAGTCTCATCTCATTTACGTAAAGTATTTTTTCATCTTTCCTCTCATTTGCTGTTTGTAATTCATATCTCCTTCATCGACACATCAACTTATTTTGTGCCAGCCAATGAAGCTACCTTGGCAGATCATCCAGATCTCAATGAAGTCACTGGAATAACTTCTGTTGACGAAATGGGGCCATGATTTCTTCCTTCCTCTGTTTGTTTACTGGTAATCTTAAGAGAGAAATTGTAACACAGCAGAGCAGCTGGAGGAGCTTTCCACAGCTCAAAAAAGCAGACAGTTCAATCAAAGCTGAGCTGTTCCATAGCTTGGGAAGCAACTGGCTGGGTTAAGGGGGCAGAACATGATCAACATGAGAAGAATCAATATTTACTGACACTGTTCCTCTACCCCTGGYGTATATTCCATCAATGCTAGCACAGCAGGTGCTTGAAAAGATCGAGGCTCCAGATCCAGGGTTAAGGATCTGTATGATTTCGGGGTGGGGAGGGGGGTGTGCTCCATGATTTCAGGGTTTTCTTTTACATTTGTCCTTATTAAAACGCATGAAGAGCTTATGAGTGCACTGCCCAGGCTGAGACAAGCTATGTTCACCCTGAATGACCGTAAAGGGAACAGCCAAGGATCAACCCGAACTTTCTGCATTCTGCACAGCAGACCAGAATGCTTTAAGATTTTCCATGATGAAATGTAAAAAGGGTCAGTCCTAACCAAGACTCATCTTTTAAAATCAAGTGCTTGAATGCCAACATCTAAAACTAGGAAATACCTAAAATGTCCAAGCGATAGAGCAGGGAGAGTACCCCAGAACTCAACACCTCGGACTTTGTGTTTAGCAGAGAGCTCCTGCTGTTATCTCAAATCTCATCCCCCCAAGTAACTCTGAGGCCCATATTTTCTTTTATGTAGACTGTAAGATTTCTGATGTCTTCTGGCTTCAAGATTTCCCGTGGGTGTCATATCCCACCTAACACATTGTCAGCATGTTCTTGCTTTCCGAATACCTCATCTACGGACATGAAATTAACTTGGCATTTTTGTTTGCTCCAAAGCTGAGATTTCACACCTGTGATCACGTTGCCAGGACATGCTCCCTATTCCCTTTGCTGTGCAATAAACAAAACACGTTAGGGCTGGTATTTCTGAAGCCCAGCTTTCTTCAGCTGATCTGATGCCTCTCTACTTGCCATAAACARATACGGAATGAGTCAGTGAGCATGTTTTAAAGCTCTGGTCACAGGCAACAAAAAGCAATGACCAAGATGACCAAGGCATATGTAACGCACGGGTTATATGGAAGAAGCATCATTTTGAACTAGGGGCAGTGCTTGAGAAGGGCAGCTGATCTACCCAGCAGGGTCAGTAGCAACTACATTCACCTGATCAGACACTGTAGCTTCCTGAACYTGCCCAGCTCTGCAGTAATTTCTGTGCTAACCCCAGCAACAAGAACCCCCAGCACAGTCACAAACACAATGCAGTTCAGCAGGTGCCTTTTGGTGGTGGTGGCTACTCAGGACAAATATTTTCCAGAAGATCTGATTTTTCAAAGTCTAGAGACTGATCATATGAAGTTGGGGTTTTTTTCCTACATCTTTGAAAGACTCTGGTTAGAAAAGGGTCTTTTACAGAGAAAACGTCAGAAAACATGTGGTCTTTATCTTAAAACCTGTTCATTCTGCAGTGGTGCAAGGCAAGCTGTTTGATCTACTGATGTCTGATCCTGTGAGACACAACTGTCTTTGGGAAAGTGAAGCGGTAAAAGGCAAAATGCCTCAGGCAGAGATGGAAACAAGRTCCTCTATATCTTGAGGAGGGAATGAATTGTTACAGTGCATAACTACCACCCCATTTACCTCTAGGTCAGAAGGAGGGGGAAAAAATCTAGCAACTATTCTGAAATAACAAGGAGATTAAAGGAAGAACCTTCCCTTCCCCACCCCGCTTCTTGTTAAAGGCATTCGGGCACAGAATCCATGTAATTAATCATTTTGTAATTAGTCTCTTTTAAGCAGTACCATGTTGCTTAAAATTCCTGCCATACTGATGTGCTGATTAATGGACTTTCAGTATTTGTGGAAAATCTCATTGTTTCCAGACGCAGAAGTAACAAAAAAATGCTATTTACTATGAAAGAAAGCTTGTCCCAAAGCCCTGTGATACGACTGACAGGCTGTGGGCTTCAAGAGAGTGAAARGCTTCTTATTCACAGGAAAAAGACTCAGCTGCCATCAGAATAACAAATTTTAGATGTCACTCTTCTGAATTCTGCCCTGTGTGTGGGTGTGGACAAGGTCTTTGGGACAGGAATGTCTATGTGTGTGTATAGCACCTAGCCCTATGAGGAAAATCACCTTGCTGGGGGCCCCATAATTCAGTGAAGTATTCGAAAGGATTGTGCTAGAAACCAGGTTTTGCCATTCATGCCAGCACTTGTAGAGTAGACTTTTATCTTTCCCTATCTTATTACCAGTGTATTTATTTAGTCTGGTATTGATTCTAACAGCAAGAGACACCTTAGCAAAGTGTAGAAATATTATAGCTGTAATATCACACATGACTTGGGAAAAGTCTTGTATCTAAAAAGGCACAGCAGACTCAAAGTGGCTGTTGGCCCTTACTGTTGGCCTGGTCAGCAGAGACAGCCAGACATCTAACAGGGGCCTATGGAAATAATACAGGATGGAGTCTGAAGGGGAGCAAAATGAGTGATGTGTGGCAGGCATCCTCCATGCTGCCCCTCATTTCCCTTACAATCCATTATGGATAAATTCATCCTGGTACTTTAGACAGTGGCAGGAAATATGTCTGGACACTGAAATATGAGAGTCTGCGTGGCTAAACTGCAGAAGAGCTCCTGGTACAGGAGTTTTGGTCTGGGTCAGATCAGCCTTTTGCTGAAAAGACTCCCAGGCATGATCCAGGAGCTGGCATGGGCCAGGGACTGTTCAAGCAGGCGGATGGGTATGGATGGGAATGGATACACGCA